TTTCCTTTTTTTTTTTTTTGAGACAGAGTCTCTTGCTCTGTCACTCAGGCTTTTGCAGCCTCAACCTCCTGGGCCAAAGTGATCCTCCCACCTCAGCCTCCTCAGTAGCTGGCACCCTAGGCATATACCACCTGTGGCTTTTTAAATATTTTTATATTTTTGGTAAAAACAGGGTCTCTCTTTGTTGTCCAGGCTGGTCTTGAATTTGTCCTAAAAGATATTTACATGAAGTGTAGTTGTTTGTAACAGTAGATGCTCAATCATGTTAATTCTCTACCCTTTTGGTATTATTCTGGTTTCACTTAAGTATCTCATTGGCCATAATACTATTATCTGACAATACAGAGCCCAAACCAGAATATATTTGGATACCACTCAGGACCTTCTCAAAATTAAACTTTAAGGCATCCAATGGCTTGAAAAAAATCTTGCAGTTTCCAAACACATTTAAAATGACTTTCAAAAGGTAACACTGTTTCAAATGGCAACACTGAAATGTCACAATAAGTACTAAAGTGTTATAAAGGTTGGACTGCTCTTAATTTTCACAGAATTAAGCACACTTTGAAGCCTAGAAATAAAAACAACAAAAAAAGATCGAGCATCGATTTTAAAGGTGCAGGTGGCTAGAAGCCATCCTCCTGCTGCAGCCAGGTACTGGGGCCACCACTCAGGGAGAAGTGGACAAGGCTGCAGAGTCAGCACTAGAACACATGCTCTTCTCTTCCAGAAAGTCAGGAGAAACGTGTACTCAAGCAGACCACCTAGTCAGCAGTTCACCTGACACTAAGATCCACAAACTCCACAGGTGAGGGAAGTCCCATGAAAATCTAACAGCCTGAATAGCTGCCTGCATCCGCTAGACCCGAGTATGTGTGAAGAATGACCTGGCACAGGAAGTGAGCGTGCACCCACATTTCAGCATGCGTGCGGTGCACAGGTCCCTGACCTTCCCGCCACTGGGGTTTTAAGTGATTAATGCACTCACGTTTCAGCATGCATGCGGTGCACAGGTCCCTGGCCTTCCTGCCACTGAGGTTTTAAGTGATTAACGCACCCACGTTTCAGCAAGTGTGTGGTGCACAGGTCCCTGGCCTTCCCGCCAATGGGGTTTTAAGTGATTAACGCACCCACGTTTCAGCATGCGTGTGGTGCACAGGTCCCTGGCCTTCCCGCCAATGGGGTTTTAAGTGATTAATGCACCCACGTTTCAGCATGCGTGTGGTGCACAAGGTCCCTGGCCTTCCTGCCAATGGGGTTTTAAGTGATTAACGCACCCACGTTTCAGCATGCGTGTGGTGCAAAAGGTCCCTGGCCTTCCCGCCAATGGGGTTTTAAGTGAT